CTTGATTGTGTCATCACTAATTGTGTATCGAAGCAAGTCAACAGACGTCAGAGAGAAGTTGCATTTGTCATCATTCAGTGTTAGGTTCTACCTTTTGACCACATCTAAAAACCGTTTGAGGTTGGCGTCATGTTCTACCTTATCGCGACCACATACTGTCACGTTGTCGATGTATGCAAAAGTGCCATCAAGCTTCTCCTTTGTCACAATGTCACCAATTATGCGTTAGAAACTGGTAACGCTATTATGAACACCAAAAGGTTTTCTACAGAAATGGTAAAGACGTTCACCAGCCTTGAATGTGATGTATGGTCTATCTTCCTGTTTGATAGCCACTTGATGATATGCATTGCGTAGATGTCATCGATCCGTGGTAGTGGATACGCATCAAAGAAGGTGAAACGATTGATTGTCTGTGAATAATCTATCACCAATCTCCTTTTGTGGCCTTCGGACGAGGCCGCCAATGCCTGAGCACGCCATGGAGACTGACTTGGCTCTACGATGCCCTCCTTCAGCATTCAAGACACTTCAGAATCAACAAAGTCCTTTTCGTCATGTGAATAACGCCTCGATTTTACTGCCATTGACTTGCAGTCAGGTGTCAGGTAATCAAGCAATGACGGAAATGGGACTTTAACAGCGGCAAGCCCAAACACCGTCAGGGCGGGCTTGGAGCCTCCGAACGAAATTTGAACCGCTGAATAATGCTGTAGGAAGACGTGTCCAAGAATAGCATCACTACAGAGGTCTAACATAACTGTACTTGGTGTTATTGAGTTCCAGATTAGTAATACAATATCCCAGACTCCTCGAGGTTAGAGAACGTTTTGCCATCGACACCTTTCCCACACAAGGGAAAACTTTCCATCCATGAATGTCTCCAATGCTTGAGGTGACAAAGCTTTCAGAGCTGCCGGTATCAACGAGTGCTGTGACAGGAACCCCGTTTATCTTAGCTTTCATCACAGCCCTTGACAGACAGGGAGGAGATGCAGCAGAGAGCGTCGCCAATGTCGAGAATGATTCAGAGGTGGCTGCAGAAGTAAACTTAGCCTTTCTTTTTGCAGTTGAGACACAGTACATCCTTTACAGGACACTTGGGGCGAGGGTGTCTACCAAAACCACAGAAGAAATATTTCAGATTAGCAGCAGCCACAGTTACTGGCTGTTCAGGCTGGTCAGTTGAAGCAGGTGTGGGTGAAGCACTTCGAGGCAGATTTAGAACCGATTCCCTATTTGGAGACGCTATTGTAGCATTAATTGTGTCAGGTTGCATATATAAAATAGCCTGCTTGGCCATCTTCAATGTATGGGCTTATTCATATGCGGTCTGCAAGTGGAGTGTTTTATTCTCAAGCAGTCGCTGTCGTATTTGGTGAACTTGAAGTCCGTTAATGAATGCATCTCTGATGTAATTGTTGGGTCCCTCCTCGGCTGAGACTGCTTGAAAATTACAGTCCTTACTCTGGGTCCCCAGTGCTTGCAGGTACTGGTCAAGAGTCTCTCCAGCTTCTTGACGACGAGTTGCTAAAACTTTGTCTGGCAAAGATCTCATTTTTAGGTTTGATGTAAAGCTCCTTGAGAGTGTTAACACCTTTGTATGAGTCACAGTCAGTAATGAATTCGTAGACAGATGGTGCAACGTAGTTGATCAAAAGATTTAGCCTGTCCGGCTGAGTGGCTTCAGTTGTGAGTGCATCCAGGAAGTTTGTAAAATTTCGGTGCCGGTGAGTCCTCTGTTTGGCGGCTGATCCTGAGTTTGGGTCCATATCAACACGGTCTGGCCTCGTAAACCTCTCCATCATTAAGTTACGCACTTTTGACAAGACTAGGCATATACTGGCTCTTGAATGTATCTGAACCTGCTCCAGTGATGGTTAAGTCTGGTCTAAACAGCTCACTCTCGGTGCTGTCACAACACTCTGGCAGAGGGTGATAGATCTATGGAACAGTGTACCAGCTCAAGCTGTTGAATCGAGAACAGTACTAGGCTTCAAAATAAACCTTGGCAAGACTATCAAGAACAATGGATGGATCCTTCATATGACAATGACCTTCTTCCCTCGGCATGGCCACCTCTAGTTTGGTTGGCCACTAAGTAAATAAGATCTATGGATACTGATGTTGCATTAAGTTGAATAAATTGCTATGAAAACTAAGGTAAGCACTGGGAGGCTTTATTCAATTTAACCCGGCTGAACCAGAGACGAGTATGTCTCTGTGTAAGACCAATAGAACGAGTGACTAGAGCGGGTTAAATTCTGGGCAGAGGTAAGTCGTCGTGTGAAAACCTGCCACCAGGGATTTTCATCGCTTGAGGGCAGGTTGAAATATTTTTCTTCGCTTGTTAACTTGAGCGTATGGTCGTTACTAATGGTCAACCGGCTCAAGACAACTTAGGGTGGAAATAGAATGAATATGTACAGTCTCTGTCAAAAGTAATCATCCATTCCACCACCTAACTTCTGGGCCTGGCTGGGTCCTTTCTGCACGGTAATTCACGCGGGGTGGAGAAGGGGACTGGTAGACTTTGGGGTTGGGTCGTTTGTTGGAGTTGGGGTGTAATGGCCCCTGTTTCATCAACAGAAAGATTATATAAATGGGTTAATTACATATTGATTTATAAACATAATCATCCCCTGTAACTTTCCACTGGCTATGAGGCGTCATCTTGATGGCATCTGGTCGGCACCCTTCCTTATAAGGTGTGGCCAGAGACAGCTTAGATCAGCATTTGAAAGGGCCGGGCGATTGGGGCACTGACGCCCTGAGGCCTGACTCTCCCTCAACACCTCACATAGAAAGGACGTCTTTAAGCAGGTCTATTTACATAGCCTCCGTGATAAGTTACGGTTGATTTACACTTTGGAATTGTCTTAGTTGTTCCTGAATAAATGGATAACAGACAACTTGGGTTTTGCTACTAATACCCAATAAAATATAAACATTCCAGCCTAGTTAACTTCGACAGAACCTTACAGTTAACAGGCTATGACAGGGGTGGGAGGGTGGCATGGGATGCAAGTTGGTCATCAGAGCGGGAAGGGATTGAAGAAAACAGGGAAATTCATGAAAGAAGTAAGGGAAGGATGGATGTTTTTTTTTCTTCACTATATTATCTTAGACGCACATGCTTGAAGAAAGTGTATTAAATAAGGGCCCTTATTTTATGATTATTATAATGTGCCAAAATTTCCTTATTTAAATGTTTTTTAAAGGATGTTGTTCAGGAATTAAGCAACTGTAATTATCTATTTATAATAACGTTGAAATGAGGAGAAATATTGAATATGAAGGAGGAAATCACATTTTTCTTAATATTTACCAATATGGGTCATACAGAATCTCAATAGCTCGGCCAGTGTCCTTCACGCCTGTCAATCATGGTGTCTCCAGCCTAAAATTATATACAGTAATTTAAATGACTGGAGAGTCAAATATGGTTTGTTTACATTACACACCCGAAATTAATCATTATAGTATATCAACTACATCTGGTTTCCCAAGTTCCCAGGCTCCTCCAAGAAGGTTAATCACCGTCTCACAGTGATTCCATCCCCCCTTGCAATTTCTGACACGTTGTAACTAGTTACACATAAACCGATAATTTATCTGCAACTCACCAATAGACATTCATTAGCATCCATCCTGGGCTGGGTGTGGAACAGTGGCACACACCACCTAATCACCTCGCATTGATTTTCAAAATTCCAATAACATATTACAAGGTAGACAAGTCACATTCCATCCAACAATTTTTTTTTAAATTAAAAGTGATTTTGTTTCAAGAACGGTAGTGGTGAGAGGCGGAAGTGATCGATTAACAGCCTCGTTTAGTGTTACTGGTGATGAGCAAGCCACGCCCATTTTTCTCCTATGTTGTCATATCAGGATCTTTCCCTCAGAGATAACAGACGCCTTATCGACTCTTATGACACATTATAGACCAAAAGCTCACTCTCATTCCTCCCCAGAATCTCAAGAAAATGTTTAAATAACTAAGGGAAAGTTAAGTCCAAAAAACACTTCTCTGGACACCTGCCCTCCTGGCTAGTTGAGCTTTAGTCCGATCAACTGCCAGGGCCATTATGGCCGTCAACGTCAAGTTACAGCCACCAACTTTAACACCTTCTTCAGTATGTGGCCTTTGACTTGTGTACCCCTACCTTACCCGGGTCCGCCACTCCAAGCTCTTCCCCATCCTCTTGTAACCCGTCGTGTAAAAAGGCCTTGAGCTCGTGGGTATGGTAGTGGGAAGGGTGGATGATTACTTTTGACCGCGTCTGTACAACAGTGCTGTCCTTGTGGGCTTATATATATATATATATATATATATATATATATATATATATATATATATATATATATATATATATATATATATATATATATATATATATATATATATATATATATATATATATATACACACAAAAGGAATAAAAATTAAATTCTAAATTCTTATAACCAAGTTGACCTATGCTATGCTGGTAATATCTATTTGACTTTAATCTGGGGTTTCCCTGGAACACTTTGAACATGAACCATAGACTACAGGTTAAGAACCCCTGGTTTAGACGAATAATTAATGTGTTAATCCTGATTGGATGATACAGACAGACACTATTTGACCATAAAATTGTACGGGGAGGCGTATATCCTAACCACATACAGTGTAGCATGGCACAGTGGTGGTCCAGGTAAGGTTGCATGGGCTTATCTTTAGGTTATCAGTAAGTGGTGATATGTCATGGCACAAATCGATGTTATCAGCTGTGTGTGTGTGTCAGTAGATTTTTAACATATTTAGAAAATTTATACGTTGTGTGTGTATGTGTGTGTGTGTGTGTTTTAAGGGTGGGTGGTGTTAATTCAAGATGTGAAGGACAAAAACAAAAGGTTCATTGACTTTCGTTTGTTATCATGAAGCGTGAAAAATCGTGGTTGATATCAGGGCTTATCTTGCTGCTCCTAGATTCTAGTGGCCATATCAGTGACTCTGTGGTGAGCAGGGTACCTTCTCTCCCTCCTCCATATGTGTTATAGAACAGTGTCCGCGTCCCATATACAGTACGCACTCGTATATTAGTCTGTCTGAAGAGTTTACGATTACGACTCCTCCGTGACCCTCATGGTGAGTACAACGACCCTCTTGTGAGCCACGGCCATTCTGTGAGTCACGATCCTTGTATTACTGAACCATGTCCATATCTCCCTCCCCCCCACATGTCTGCACCCTCTCCTCATGTCCACACCCCATCACCATGTCCACACCCGTTTACTATTTCTACAACCCTCCAACCTGTCCAAACGTCTGTAAAAAAAAGTAGGGTAAGAGAAAAAGTGGGGGAAGAGGAGGGAGCTGTACGATAACTGCAATCCCATTCGGCAATAAGTTTACTACCATTGGATACAACATATTAATTGTAATATAAACACAAGGCACTAGTAAAACATTCACAACAAATGTATTTATAACATATATGTAGGAATACAAAAAAAATTACAGGTCATTTTGTAATATTGTCTGTTCTGTTCAGAACAGTGTTACCAGATATTTTGTCTCAAACACGAACTGTAGGTGTATACTTATTCTTGTGGCCGACTGTACCAGTTGGAAGTGGAAGAGGCTGTACAGTCACGAACAAAAGTTCATTTCCTCAACCGGTCGCAATATGACTCCAAAACACTTGAGGTTTGAACAACGAATCGGCAGAAGGAAGGGTCTTTTTGACCCTACAGATGTCGCACCTGAGTGTGTATGGGGGAGGGAACAGGGGAGGCGGAGATAGGGGGTGGGTGTAATGTGCTGCTTTTCCTCTTTATACTATTTCATATGCTTATTCTTTTTATTCTTCAATATATGTATATACTTATATTCTTGCTCATATCTATCTTTTATATTAATCTTTTCTGGTGTACATGCTATAATAATTTTATATTCTATGTCTTTCGTTCTATAAGTATATATCCTGTATTTCTTTGCTTATATTTTCTAAGTCAATATTCTTATATTTCTTTGCTTATATTTTCTAAGTCAATATTCTTTTCTTTACTTCATTTCTTTTTTCATATATATCATTGTATTTCCTGAATTTCATGTCCTTACTTTCTCTCAATTATATTCTGTCCTAGTTATATTCTAAACCATGGATTAGTCTGGGAAACCATGTCATTATTATTATAACTTATTATTTACAACGGTAGCCTGCCACCACCCAAACTTTTATTAGAATATAACATATCTTAGTAAACTGTTAGGTAGCGTGTTAGCGAGCTTCTAGGCACATGAGTTTCAATAGTTATTTTCTGAGAACCAACGGGTAGAAGGAATAGAGCGGTGATACTCGTAGTTTACTAATTTAATATTTATTAACATAAGGAGTAAATAAGATGTTAATTAAGTTCACTCAGACAAGACTGGTCCACTTAAGTCTTGCTTTACCATTCATAAAATATATCTTCAATTACATATTACATCATTAAACAACTGTTGTATTATTTCTTGGACAAATTAGGTGGCTATTTTACACATTCAGATAGGACTGGCACCTTCCACAGGTCTTACTTTTACAAGTAGAGAAATAAATCTTCAATTCTTGTTTACAACATTAAACAAGCATTATATTATTTCATTGTCAATACAGATGGTTATATGACACACTTGACAATATCCCGAATTAAAATATTATTTATAACAACATGCTATTTCGGAATGAATAACATGGCACTTTTCCTTTAGTTGATGTACTCAACTCACGTACATATTTACTGAAACTATCAATTTTTATGGGTTCACCACTCAACCTGGGATAACTAAATTTCGGCTAATTATCCCCAATCATGTACAACAATAATACTAGATAGAACTCAGCTGGTAGGCCATATGGAGGATGCACTCCCAACAGCCCCGATAACACTGTATTACGTACTGGTAATACCAATACTGCTCGGTACATATAACAAAGAGTGAGAATTCCGACCGGTTGCTTGGTTTCACGGTCATGTTTTTTGTTGGAACCTCCGGAACACCTCCTCTAAGAGTTCTGGTGTTCCTCAAATGTTGCTGAATGGATTAACACCTCATCCACAAATGCCTCAACTCCCTTGATGCCGTTTAGGACTTGCCTCATGACACGGTTGAAGATGGCAGGGGAGTTTGTGAGGCCAAAGGGAAGGACTCTGTACTGGTAGAGGCCCCCTGGCGTACCAAAGGCTGTGATCTGCCGACTCTTCGGGTCCAGTGGGATTTGGAAGAACCCCTTGGTCAGGTCAAGTTTGGTAAATAACTTGGAACCAGCTATTCTTGAAAAAATAGTTTTCTGATCACACATAGGTTCAGCATCCACCTGGGTAATGGCATTTACTCTCCTATAATCCCCACAGATCCTGACACCCCCATCCTTTTTACGGACAATTACCATAGGACTACAGTATGGAAACGATGATTTCTCGATGATTCCTACTGCTTCCATTTCCTCAATTTCTTGTTTGACAGTGTCCAGTAGTCACATAGGTATAGGATAGGGCTTTACCCGAACAGGTGTAGGGCTGGTCAGTTCAATAGTGTGACAGTCGACCCGGGCAACTCCTGGCTTATCAGAAAAGATGTCCTTGTAGCGATGCAACAGAGAGCCGATGGCATCTCGTTCCTCTGCTGATAGATTTCCGTCACCTCAACGTCCGTGAAAGTCTCACTCTGGCGGGAGCGTGCAGTGACAGGCCCATCCTCCTCATCACTGGCAGAGATCACTGTGGCAGCACAAGTTACCCCTGAATCACACTGGGAAGGCTCGTCCCTGTCTTCCTCAGTGGAGACTATACCCCCGATCGGTGACGGGAAGTACTTCTTCAGCATGTTGATGTGGAACTTCTTTCGTCGAGATCCCACCTGGACGATGTAAGTCAGATCCGAGACACGCTCTGCAATGCGGAATGGCCCTTTCCACTGAGCCAGTAACTTATTGCGCATCGTCGGCAAAAGAACCAGGCACTGGTCACCTGGCTGGAAACAACGAAGCTTGGATCTCTTGAGCCTTTATCAGCTCTTGCTTTGCCAGTTGACAGGTTTCTTGGAGACGATCAGCTAAGTCAATGACGTATGTATAAGTGGTCTTGACTTCCGGATCTGGTTCCTCATCAACCCACAGTTCCCGAAGAACCTGTAGTGGTCCCCGGACGGATCTGCCATACATAAGCTCGAAGGGAGACACCTTGAGTGAGCTCTGTGGCACCTCTCGGTACGCGAACAGAAGTGGGGCAATGTAGCGCGGCCACTCCTTAGGTTGTTCTGCTGCCATCCTCCTGAGCATTTTCTTCAGCCTCCCATTAAACCTCTCACAGAGTCCGGTGCACATCGGGTGATAGGGTGTTGTCTTTAGCCCCTTTACCGATAACAGCCGCAACAACTCCTCCATCATGGCAGAAGTAAACTGGGTCCCCCTGTCACTGAGGACTTGTTTGGGGATACCGACCCAACAGAAGATTTCCAACATGGCTTCTGCAACAGTCGTGGCCTCAATGTTCCTCAAAGGCACAGCCTCGGGCCACCTCGCGCTAAAGTCAACCAAGGTGAGAATATACTTTGCCCTGTACTGCACACATCATTGTCATTCCTAAAAACCCACTTTAATTCATATTACGCTACATAACATTCAAATCCACCGCGCTTGTAGAATCTCAGGAGAGACGTGTTTTCCCATCCGTTTTACCCTCAGGATCACTCCCAATAAGTCCCGCCTTCAAACACAGTTGTCACTACGTTTATTCCACTCTCTACTGGCAAACGCAATCTTGAATTAGTCTGTGTAAATCTTCTTTAGTAATTCACCAGACCTTTGTCAACTGAGGGTCATCCTTGAATGAGTAACAGTTAGATTGTTTGTAATTTCTGTCATTGAGTGAGTAGCGATCATTGGCAACTCAGGGATATATAAACCAGTGAGAGGCGGGAGCACTAAACCTCCCGTATCACCTTTCACCTTCGTTCTCAGGTATGTTCTGTGTTTATAACCATTCAGTTTGATTCAGTCTGTTGTAGTGAATATCAGTGTTCATCAATGTTCATGCTTTAACAGTGGAATTATCATTCACCTAGTGTAAGAAGTAATATAACATAAATATCTGACGCGGCGATACTGAAGATTTGTTTGTGACCCACCATGCTTCCCCAAAAACCTCCCGTATCACCTTCCTCCTTCGTTCTCAGATCGACGGTGGGCTTAATTGAAACCCACCGGTCGCTCGGAGCCTGTGGATACCCAGCAGTGGTCAATATATGAGGGATGGCGCTGATTTGGCACGATTAATCGGCTCCACTCTACCTCGTGGGCAGAGGGCCCCAGACCTGCCTCGTGTCTGAGTGTAACCGACCACAACAGCAGTCATCAGTTGTTAGAGGCGCCAGTGCTATGCCTTGGAGTTATGGTCCACAGTGTGGTTGTATGTGTTTGTTAATAATTACCCCATGTTGGGTAGTGGACCCATGTAGGTGTTTGTATCAGTATTAGCGTGTCGTGAGTGCATCTCCTATACCCTACCAACAGTCTGTGAAGCATCACATGCCAGTTGGTCTTATAACTGGATGTAATGAGAAGTACCTAGTAATGTGGGAGAAGTAAAGTAATCTGCAAGGAGTTGCCATGTAACAGTGTATTGTGAGTAGGGACAAGGAACTGGTCCTGCTATGTAATGTAATGTGACACCAGTAAGAGTGTTCACGGTAAGAGTGTAATATCTGGGTAATTGCTGTTGAGTAAATAAGAAAATAAGGAAACAAGTAAATAAGAAATACGGAGTGCAATGAGCCCACCAGTTGAACCTTGTAGTTATATGTTCATAATATCTCTTTTCCCCTTTGATTTTATATTAATAAACTTGTTCAATGAGTATTTTAGGAGTATTCATTTCTCCAACAGTAGTTACCTTTATTTCCGTCCAAGTGACCCTGATATCAGAATTACACTACCCATGTGCCTAGACCATCGACATGCTACCAAAAAGAACTGAGGTTAGGTAGTACCAAAAATGAACTGAAGTAAGTAGAAGGAACATTTGAAAGAACTAAGACAGGTTGTGGTTTCACCCTTCTTTCCCCTTATCGATCGGGTCAATGAAAAACCTAACCCAATGCCTAGTCCACTCTGCATGCTACCTCTGCATACTGTCGAGAGGGGGTCTGGTGGCAGCGACCCTTAGTAATTAAGATTAGAGTTAAGTATTTCCCCTTAGAATTAGTGACCCCAGGCTGGCAGTATAGCCCCATCGCTCGCCCTTGGGTTTATCGGCCCCACAATGTCCACCGCCACCCTCTCAAAGGGTTCAGAGATCAGTGGAAGGGGCTGTAGTGGTGCAGGTGGGACTCGCCCTCGATCACTGGTTTTCTGGCAAACATCACAAGAGCGGACTAGCCTGGTGATCTCCTGGCCCATCCTTGGCCAGAAGAACGCTGCCCTGATGCGATCAAAGGTCGTCTTTTTACCCATATGGCCGCCAAGAGCAGTGCAATGACCTAGCTTGAACACAGCCAGGCGGTACTAGGAAGGAACCACGAACTGTAGTCGTGTTTCACCCAGAGATGTCAGTCTCTCGGTAGAGACGGTTCCTCTTCTTTACAAACCTCGTTCGATTCCCAAATGTCTCCTTGATGGTCCCAACCATCAAACTCTTGTGTACTGAAGTGAGCGTGCTGTCATGCTCTTGCTCTTGGACGACATCCTGACTATTGATGAGATCAGACGATGTAGCAATAGCCAATGGGATGACTCGAGGTTTTCTTTGAGCCATACCCTTAGTGACTGCAGCAGCATTAACTTGGGTCAAAGCGGCAGCATCAGTTTGGGTTGCAGCATCCACTGCACAACTGTTTCTTGCTCCCTTGATATTTCCAATGATGAGATCGTATATAGGTTCCCTCAGGACTGCTGCAGTGACCCAACCTGAGAAGAAGGGGGTGTCCACCTCAATCTTGGCCACTGAACCCGTTTGAATGTAACTATTGGCTAATTTAACACTTACTTGTGCTCCGGTGTATTGATGTGGCTTCACCAATTCCTTCCTGACAATACAGCCTGATGCCCCACTATCTCGCATGGCAGTCACTGGAACTCCTCCAGCGTATCCAGGCTTAACAAAAAAGGTGGGGTGGCCCTTCGAGGAGACGGTGGAGGCGGCAGTTAGTCAGGAGGTGTGGTAGACCTGATTCGGTATGAGCCCCTGCTTCAGGTTGCATGACGATCGGCCCTGCTGGAAGGTCAGGCCACTCCCCGTCCACAGTTTGAACATCGGCGGCTTCCTGCTGCTGGTTATTTCGTGGATTATTATTGCTGGCACCTTGGCCTACGATTTGAGCCAAGGCGGCTTCCTACCGCCGGTCCCATCGCGGATTGTTACCCGGGCGCCAACTGTCCTGGTACTTCGGGTGGCCTTGGTACTGCTTCTGCTGCTGTTTCTGTTGTTGCCTTTGCGGTTGTGGTTGCTGGTTATTTCTCTGTTGCCTGGGTGGGTTCGGTCGTTGTTTCTGTAGAGGTTGCTGACTCTGTTGGGTACCTGCCGACTCCCTGTTCGACCACTGCCTCCGAGTGTGGTACCCGAAAGCGCTGAAATGAGCGTCTGCTTTGCTTGCCATTTCCTTCGACGTCTTAACTCCATTGGCCCTGATTTGAGCCACAAGTTCAGGAGGACACGACCTTTCAAACTGTGTGCACACCATTAAGTCTATAACCCCTTCCATGGACTTGGGGGTTTCATCCTTACTCATCCACTAAGCCACATAGTCCCTTAAACGTTCCCGGAACTGTGTAGCCGTTTCATTTTCTTCCAACATTGCCCTGTTGAACTGATGCCTGGCCTGCTCAGTAGTCAGCCCATATGCCCGCAGCAGTGCAGACTTCATGCCAGGGAATTTATTTTCAGGACGCTCTAGTCGTCGAAGAATCCCTAAAGCTTTCCCATCAAATAGGCTCAGGAACTCAAATTCCTTAATGCAGTCATCAAGCTCGTAGGCTTCTGCGAGATGCTCAAACCGGGATATGTACATTTCCATGGATTCGCCCTCCTTAAAGGTGGGCATCTGGCGAAATTTCCTATAAGTGACGTTTTGAGTTCCTGACGGAGAAGAATTTTGGTTCCTTTCCACTATGGCCAGTTGGAACTCCGTTCCCTTTGTCTCTCTTCTCGTTCGAGCTTCTTTTCTTCCTTCTGAAAGTCTAGCTGGGCTAAGAGTTGTTCATGCTTGCGTTGCTTGTCTTCTCTCTCCTCAGCCTTCTCCATGTATGCAACCGCCTCAGCCCCCTCCAGCCCGAGGTCACGTGCTTCCTCAAAAGCCGCTGCACGAGCTGACATGGTGTAGGTGTGGGCGATACAACTGTGCAATTATCCACGGTCTGTGTCCCTGTTCGGGCGCCAATTGTTAAGTTTTAAATGCAGGAAAGTGGTTTTCTTACCGTAGAACTCAGATACCTTCACACTGGTTACTCACCCAGGAGATTATGGTGTATCACTACGCAGAATTTCACTCTGCTTCCGGCATTCAATGCGTTGTGTACTTGACAAATGATGATTTAATGAATTCCATTAACTTCCAACATCCATCTAAGTTATTGGTTATACTTTGTCATAACCAATCAGTCATTACCTTTGATAATAATAATAATAGAGGGGTCACAGAAACGGGCAGATAATTGCACTTACGTTTATTTGGCACAATTCCATACACTGGACTTATAATTTGCATGGATAGGTCAGTCACTCATATTCACGCCACATTACCGTAAGTTATAAGGGAGAGTTTGTCAACCTGGAGTATTAATCGTTTAGATCGATTAGGCCGGCCTGGAGAACTCTTGTAGCAAACAGGCCCTCACCATTGATCACTTCCTTTACAGGATGTGTTAACTTGTCGCTGGACTTAACAACAATCTCGGGGATTTGCACACACAGACTCGTAGCACTGGTAGGACTGTATGGCCCCTGTTCTTAAGTCCGCGGAGCAGGAGGTCTTCTCTAACCCAAGGTCTAAAGCCTACTGGCTAAAATGTGGTTTTGAGGCTTGAGATGATCCCTATCGGCTGGCCGGGTACCTTATTTCTACCTAAACAAACATGGGATGGGTTGTGCAGGAGGCCCAGCGCTTATGGCGCCGTGAACCTCTAATTAGAGGTTCACGGCGCCATAAGATCGTTGAACAGGCTTTGTGTGAAATATAAAAGAGTCTAGGACTGCTTTTAGTGTCCTGGTGGTCCAGTAGGTAGCGTTCCCCGGTCACAGTCATGGGCTCGTGGGCCGTGGGTTCGAATCCTGGCGGGTTGAGGTGTTGATTGCATGTAGAGGTCCGCGTGCTTTATTGGGCTAATGAAATATATATCGATCCTCGTGTTTCGAAGCCAGATTTGGTAAAACGTTACTCTGACCACCTACGTGATACGGGTAGTCCCCATTAGAGGTTCATGGCGCCATAAGCTCGTTGAACAGGCTTTGTGTGAAATATAACAGAGTCTAGGACTGCTTTTAGTATCCTGGTGGTCCAGTAGGTAGCGTTCCCCGGTCACAGTCAAGGGCTCGTGGGCCGTGGGTTCGAATCCTGGCGGGTTGAGGTGTTGATTGTATGTAGAAGTCCGCGTGCTTTATTGGGATATATATATATATATATATATATATATATATATATATATATATATATATATATATATATATATATATATATATATCTTGATAAAATCACACGGGAAAAGGGAAACAATGGAGCACATTAGCTTTCGTCTTTATTCAAGACATCTTCAGAGGCAACTGGATTACATGGACAGAGAGAGGCTTAAATATACAGGGTGACCTTATTAAACATGAGGTCAGGTCATAATGATGTCATCCACTAATCCCCACACCAACACCAACACACACGTAGAGGAGCTTAAGAGAAGGGGGCGACGTGACTAGTCAGGTCAGGTCAAAAATAAGTGACCCACTAAATAACTATCCCACATCTAGATAATGTGTGTGTTATGCTCAATAATTTCTGATTAGCTTTTAAAATGTTAATGACATATTTGCTAGATAGGGATAACTTGATTTTTACATCTACAACTTAATAAAAATTAATTTGTATGTGATAAACTTTGCTCTATTTTACTTAAGAATGCTTTACCTTAAGTAGGTTAGGTAAAGTTAGGTTAGGATAAGTTAGGGTACGTCAGGATAAGTTAGGTTAGGTAATGTATGAATCTGATCATTCATATGTACAGTATTATGATGTACTATATTATCAATTGCCAGTCAGAAATGTGATTAAAAAAGATATTTACGTACATAGAAGTTATCGCTATTATGCACTTATCCCTAATGTCCGAAAAATAAAAATACTGGCAAGAAAACTCAAATAATAATGTATCATATGTTCCCAAACAGGTGTGTATAGGAAAGTATATTACAAGTTACTGCATTGTGTAACGTAATTGATGAAAGCACGGTGGCTACCACACCATTGTTACTGCCGCCAAGCCCATCTGGTCACAACCATCGTCTGGTCTTTCTTCGCCACGACTACCTGTTTCATCACTATCACCATGAAAAAACTGGTAAGCTTGCTCGTGTTTAGATAGATAGATAGATAGATATTTATTTATGCAGAAGAATTGCAATACAAAGTCACACTCGTTTAGCATGTGAACCTCAAGATTACATATTCATATCTTCAAAGGGTAGTATTTATTATTAAACGCAAAGAAAAAGACATCTTCTCTCAGTGAATGAGAATGTGTGTGTGTGTGTGTGTGCAATAATAATAATAATAATAATAATAATAATAATAATAATAATAATAATAATAATAAAAATAATAATAATTAACGGTTTATTGAGAGAGCATGGCAGCCAGAAGGTTGAAAATATGCAGTACCATAATTGGGGAATGGAGCACTTGATTGACAATAATATACAAGTAATATAAGTGATACAAATATGATATATAACAGCAAGGTGGGGAGAAGGTCATACTACGGGGCATTTCAACATAGTAACAGTGCAAAAAGGTAAGATTGGCTAGGAGTGAACACACTGGTTGACTACGAGTTGTTGATAATGTTTACGATGGTTGGGACTGGGCTGTTCTTATAGCGATCAGTCCGTGCTTGTATAGGCTGCATGCGGCTGTGGTGTCGAACAACAATTCACGGACGAGAGATCTCAGGTGGAAGCAGCACCCGATGGAGGATGGTGCAGAAGCTCCTCGCGAAATTTGCAGATGTGGTCGTGGTGATGATCAGAGAGAGCCGAGAGGGTCAGTGTGTTAAGCACTTCTTGATATGTGGAGTAGGAGGGGAACGGAATAATTTCGAATGCCCTCTTCTGTACCTTTTCTAGGTGTTTCCGTTGTGTGGCATTTAGGGAGGAAGACCGGGCAGGGGAGGCATAGGTGAGCTTGGGAAGTATGAATGTTGAGTAAACACTGTGTGTATAATAATAATGATAATAATTATAATCCTCAACGGTTTATTGAAAAAGTTCAGCAGCACGAAGGCTGAGAATATACATTAGACTAAAATGACTTATTTCATACAAAGACATGGAGTAGGTCGGTTTTTTAACAAACGCTTTCATTACTAAAAGGAGAAGGAACATGAATTGAACATTCAAATTATTATAGTTTGCAGTTGATGGCCCGGGCTGGTCTCTTGCCCTACTGTGTGAGGTCACGTAAGCCACGTGATGTTGTGAATCGCCCTTGGTGTTGACATGAAAGACTTCACGTAGTCATGGAGACACCGGGTGGTGTGGTGCTCACGTGGTGTAGTGACTCGTCCTCGGTTGTTGATATGATGGACCTCACGTGGTCATAGAGACACCGTGTGGTGTGGTGTGGGGTGGTGTCAAAATACCTCACTCTCTGCTTGGTGGTGTTGTGTTGTCTTGTAGTCAGGTGTAAAGACGACCCACTGTTGTTCCTAGGGTGGACGGATTAACACTGCCTGGTCAGAAGATGGTGGTCGGTTCCCAGGGGTGCTTATCTCACTGGTGGGTCACAGCTCTAGCTGCACTGTCTAGTGCTGAATTCACTGGCTTAAACACTGGTCTTCACTGATCCACTTCTTTCTGATACGAAATTGTCACTTTTGGTGGGATTATGTTGATATCCCGGTGGTGATGATGGGTCGAAGAGAGGGACTTGGGGAATGGGCCAACATTGGCTGGGGTGCAGCTGCCGCAGCAGGAGCGCACGCCCGATAGGCCTTAACCCTCCGGTCGTCAAGGATATTGTGTGTGTGTGTGTGTTTTACACTAAATAGGGAAAACTACAGCTTAAGCCTTAAGAAACAAGTGAGGTTTTGCAGAATAGGGAAAACCTTTTGTTTTATTTGCTCTACATCAATGGAAATTAATTCGTATATGGTCAAGTTTATTGTGTATCACGTGAGGAGTGGATTACCATTATTATAATAAAATTATACGTGAAGTAGATGAGGGAAGGTTAGATTATGTTAGGTTAGGTTAGGTTAGGTTTTGCATGAAACTTTTCATATACATATATTTTTATGACCTACATGATCGTTTATTACCAGTCAGAAGTTTCACAAAAGGATAGATGCATACTGTAGAAGCTATCGTGAATCAGCAATTATCCCTAATTTGCCTAACACACACACACACAATATATAATATATATATATATATATATATATATATATATATATATATACATATATATATATATATATATATATATATATATATATATATATATATATATATATATATATATATATATATATATATATATATATATATATATATATATATATATAATAGTTTGAAATTTGACCGTTTAAATGGAGTTCAGAGTTCAGAGACATCTTAAAAATCGCGTGGAGAATTTGTTCATGTAGCATAAACCTAAAATTAGCTAGAATCATTGTAAGTGATTTACGAATGTGTTAGTATTCATGTTGTCCCAGTTGTATCTTGAGGCTGAATAATTGACAAGTCATAACAAACCATTACTACAGGGTAACCCGAGTCGTCCAACTGACCAGACAAGGAGTGGGCTGTCTAGGTAGACCTAGTAAAATCGTCTTGAAGAACATATACTGTAGTTAATTATGAATTTCTTAGATTAAATTTCTATGGAAAAACAACTGAAATAAGAGTAAGAGAAGAAGTTTTTAAGAGACGCATTACTAAATATCAATATCAATATATGGAGAACAGAATAAACTCACTGAGATTGTGAGGCCCTGCCTACAATTCATGACGTCATGGGCCCAGACTTGCGAGCGCTGATAGATGAATACCAATACAATATATGAGGCTATGCGCCACCCAGGCCAAAACCATGTATGTGTGACACTATGCCACCCACGTTTTTTTAGTGAAGTATACCATCAATTATTAAACAAAAAATAATGACAACCTCACTCACCGCTCTGTCGTCACGAAGGAGATAAAATTTTTGTCACTTATCCATCAGTTGTGAAGAAAATCTGGTTAATTATTATCATAATATGTAGGTCAGGGGAAGTTAAAGGACACAGGACATAATTTGATAATATGTTATATCCCTAAACTTAGCTAATTACCTTGAAAAGGACAAGGATCAACACTTATGAAAAGGCTAGCCTGGCTGATCTCCTCTACAACCTGGCAGCACGACTTTAATAATTTGCCCCCACTCATCATATACCGAGGTACAACTTCTGAATAATCCTGTTTCTTCCGAGATCACCCGTAATTTACAATTATTTTGCTATTCAATTACTTTACCCTTTTTTAAGTCTATACGTTTCCATTCTGATGAATGGTCACACAACATGGTAGGTGACGTTAGCATCATGGCCCTCTCAGGAGAGAGGACGGTTGTTGTGATTACTTGTGTAGCAATTATGTTTGACAGGAGTTATGAACATAAACCAAATCTCTACACCTTTCTGTAGGAATGTGTGTGTAAAGGCCTTTATGCTAAATCATAGACAGTACAGGTATACGTTTTGAGTTGTTTGAATAAGCTGTTGTGGGCCATGAGTAGTTTAAATAAGCTGTAGTGGGCCATGGGTTGTTTAAATAAATTGTAGTGGGCCATGAGTTGTTTAAATAAGCTGTAGTGGGCCATGGGTTGTTTAAATAAACTGTAGTGGGCCATGGGTTGTTTAAATAAACTGTAGTGGGCAATAACAACAAGCTGTAGTGGGCCCTAAGTTGTTTAAATAAACTGCAGTGGGCCATGAGTTGTTTAAATAAGCTGTAGTGGGCCATGGGTTGTTTAAATAAACTGTAGTGGGCCCTAAGTTGTTTAAATAAGCTGTAGTGGGCTATAAGTTGTATGAATAAGCTGTAGTGGACCATAAGTCGTTTGAATAAGCACTAGTGGACCATAAGTTGTTTGAATTGGCTGTAGAGGGCCATAAGTTGTTTATATAAGCTGTAGTGGGCCATAAGTGGTTTAAATAAGAAGTAGTGGGCCATGGGTTGTTTAAATAAGCTGTAGTGGGCCATAAGTTGTTTAACTAAGCTGTAGTGGACCATAAAATTTTTGAATTAGGTGTAGTGGGCAATAAGTTGTTTGAATAAGCTCTTATGGGCTATAAGTTGTTTGGATAAGTTGTAGTGGGCCTTAAGTTGTTTGAATTAGCTGTAACGGGCCGTAAGTTGTTTGAATAAGCTGTAATGGACAATAAATGTTTGGATAAGCTGTAGTGGGTCATAAATTGTTTGGATAAGCTTGTAATAAAAGGGACGGTCACACCCACACACGCCTACGCGCACGATTTTTTTTTTTATTATTCATTGGGCACCCCTCTACATCCTGTGTAAGGTGAAGCGCAGAAGCGTTTACAGCGCCAAACAGGGAAGCATGCTAAGTTCATGCTTGCCTTTATGTCATAGGGTCATAGGGCGTAGAAGCCTGAAGAGTCAATGCTTATGTCATCAAGTAATTGGAAGCTGCAACAACTTTCCCTGAATACGAATTCGCAACTTTCGATTTACAACAGGTACCTACATTTCTGCTAGGTGAACAGGGACCAAGGGGGCTAGGAAGTATGTTCAAACAACTTTTCCACCCGCCCGGGATTCGAACCAGTGACATCTCGCTTGCGAGGCAAGAGCGGTACTGGTCTTCCACGGGCGCCCGATGGCCATTCATTACGAGGGGAACTTTAAATTTGACCTGTGGGGCTCTGTGTTGTTACAGTATCTGTAACCAAGTGACATGGAGATAGCTCCACCCATAGAACTGGCTTGACTACGCCCATATTGTGAACTCGACAATAAGTGGAAAAAAAATGCCTAAAGAATCTTTGAAAGACGGACCATCATTGGACACTGAGAATATACTCTCTACTGCCAAGAGATAATGTTAGATGTATAGTCAGTTTAGCGTTGGGTGTGGTGTGGTCTGGTCAGGCGACAACAGTACTGGGCGCAACAAGGTTGATGGAGGTTTGTCTGTAATCGTACGGGAGTATAGTGAATTCCCTCCCCCACGGTATATCTAGATAGAAATAGGGATAAGACATATAACTTCTTATTACGACTTTTGTTGAATAAATTTAATTAGTCAGACATCTCTACATTTCCCCCTGACTAA